GAATGATCTCATCTCGCAGATGTAATGGTTTTTATTGTATTTTGCATAGATACACCTTGGCTTCCAACTCAGAAACCCAAACTGCCGCAAATACGTATGTACCGAACGAATTTTGACCGTTTTTGTGGTTTCATTTAAAAGGGATTTTAGAAGTAAAGAGGCCAGGCGGGCGGTCCCCTCCGTCATTCGACTTAGTCCATCACTGGTGATAAACTGTAATTCTTTTATTTCACTTCGATTAATTAAAGACACTACAATTCAAAATAAGAATTAAAAAGGAGAAGAAAATAGAATTTGCTTTGTAAAAACCATTCGGTTGTAAGAGTAGCAGTCTATTGGCAAAAATTCTGGACCACTAATTCAATTTAAAGATATTTGCGTTGACCGAACTCAATCAGATTACGGCCCACTAAGCAACCTTTTAGTATCTACTTTAATTCTACTCGAATTTCATTGTAACAAAACAGAAAAGCATTGCGAAGGGTAGTCGGTTAACAACGACGGGAAGGCTCTTAGTGTAAATCTGCGGATTAATTTCGAGTCAAAAGGACCCACTCCCGTTGTGCCGTGTACAAACTGCCTAGCCTCACAATACGGAACACGTTTCTCTTTCAAGTTTCTTTTCACTGGGCAAAGAAAGTTTGTTACTTGAATGTACTCCTATACCGCAATGATTACATATGGCCAGAGATGTGATTTAGTTGAAATACTGCCATTTAAAATGGAAATACAAAATAAAAAATGTCCATTTTTATCTTTCATTTAAATACTTTTTTAAGAAAAGCATTTTGTATTTTATTTAAAATACTTTTCCAAAATTTTTGCTAGTATCGCCGATCTAACATTATATAAAATGATGAATGAAACTTACGTTAACTATTGAAGATAATAGAAATTTTGAAGTTTTCTGAGTTCAATGTCATGGTCCATGGAGTTTTAAAATTCCAAATTGATATCAACACCTACCAAATCAGGAAGGATCTGCGAACTTCTATGAACTACGACAAAACAGTGCGTTTTAGAAAATACTACAAATGGCGCATTAAACGCCATCTGTAGCACGATGCTACATTTTAGGATTACGTATGCTCCAACAAGGTCCACTTGTGTGGATATCTACTTGCTGAAAATGAATCCCGGCGCAGCCAACCTCAACGTGATAAGCACGTTAGCTTAATCGAATAAAATAATTCGAAGTGGTCTGTATTCTGTCGAAACTGCCAGACGCGGATTGCGATTTCGATCTTTTTGGATCTCATCAGCGCGTCGCAG